GAGCTGTTGTGAGGTAAGAGCTGTTGTGAGGTAAGAGCTGTTGTGAGGTCAGAGCTGTTGTGAGGTCAGAGCTGTTGTGAGGTAAGAGCTTGTGAGGTCAGAGCTGTTGTGAGGTCAGAGCTGTTGTGAGGTAAGAGCTGTTGTGAGGTCAGAGCTGTTGTCAATCAACAAAAACAAATATGATCGAAAGTAGATCTCTGAATTCCTTCCTCCCTGTATGCTTGCAACAAGAGGTCGCGTACATTGCATTGCTTCAGCGTTGCATTGTTTCATTGATCGAACCCCTCAGGGGGGACTTCTGACGCGTGTCTGTGCTCGTCAGAAGTCCTATCCCAGTTGAAATTTAGGGCAGGGAATAAAGCAGGCCGTCGCCGGCTGCAGAGCCGACGTAGGGACGCGACAGAGCCGCGATAGAGCAGAAATGTCCGCTTTAGAGACGATATCGCCAGCCGCGTAGCAGCGCTAATTCACCTCTGAGTACCTGCCTAGGTGTGCTCTGTCCTGCCGACACCCCAAATAAAAATTAAGAGTGGAGCACCTATGTTTTTATGGTGGCTATCGGCGGACGCCATAGGTGGAGCTTATATGATTTATACAGTGAATTAAGGGTGGCGTGCACCACCTATCCCACACCTATAACCTGCCAATGGCCACCACACCCGTAAAGCTCTTCGTACACCAATAACTACCCGTTGGCACCGGTGGCGCATCAATGAGCCACCAGTGGCCACCTTTAAAATGAATTCAATAAAAAATTTTCCTTTAGTTTCCAATCCGATGCTTTTGCATTTACTGATATTGCTTCACCCAATCACCATTCTAAGTGCTACGTATGCAAATCTGCCATGACAGTACAAGTAACAATGTCACACATGTAGCAGGAACATTTAATCAGAGTACCATACACATACCTCGTGAGAAATCGACTTGAAGAAAGACCCAGCCTGCAGGATTCGAACTCCGATCTCCCGCACGCGAAGCAGAGCCTCTACCGTTGAGCCATCGGAGAGGGCATGGCAATCGAGTATTTTTAAAATATTTAACTGAAGTATTGAAAATATTAATTTCATCAAATGAGCGAAGTTAATGCTACCACCGTGATGATTAGATGGTTTCATCACCAATTTTGTTTGAACATGCTACTACATTCGAGTAAACACCCGCTGAAAGAAACTTCATTTATCCGTAACGAACGATGGTTCAGCTCAGAGTAAAGGCTACGGGAAAATGCTTAATAAGTATCGAAGTTCATGTCAACATTACACCAATCTTGACAGCGGTTTGATTCGATATATTTTCACCAAGAATATTCTGACATGAAATAAGGAATTGATATTACACGATTATTTGAAATGTCAGGCGTGAAATACCTGCACCACTTCTAGTCACCATTTTTCTGTAGCCTAATATTTAGTCTTGTGCATATGAGAGATACCGGGGCCACTTTCTTAGAAATTTAGAGTTAAAATCTGAAGAATTATCTGACTGTATTTTAAATTTCACAATCGAGGTCAGGATGGATAACCGAATTTTTACTCGTATCCTCTGCGTAAAAAGGATACTTTTGTGGCAAGCAAATTACCCGGAAAGCACGTTTCAAGCAGGACAAGGTAAAGATTAGCAGGAAGCTCAACGTCGACGCGCGTCAAGCCAACCGGTATGAACGTGAGTCGCGTGCTTACTGTGGACTCGCTCTCTGCCCATGATGCCGAGCCGCTGTGCTTTACAAGGAAGAGGAGTCGCTGTTGACTACGTCAACGTGCCTCTTGAGTTTAAATAAATGGGGCAACTTGAGAATATTGTAAATATAATAGAACACACTTAATCGATTCATAAAATTTATACTTAATAATAGAATAAGTAGTCTCAATTGATCGCAATATTTCCAATACAGCCAGTTTTTGCATACGCAAAATTCACAATAAATTTACGCAATATTTCAGGTGAACATGAAAAATTGGATTCGCCGTCAGGATGGAAAAACTGTATTTATTGCAATCAAATTGTTTCATTGTTCCTCGGACAATTTATATCAGGAACAGTCTGATACATGCCCAGTGGCTCCACTTCGGCTCAATAATTTTGTGAACACCTTGCTTCTCTTTCAGTTTTATTGGTGATTACCTAATTCACGCAAAATTTTCTTAACCTAACTAATTCTTAAAAGCCAAGCACACAAAACGAAGTCATGGTTTCGTCTTGATCTCGAATGACCCGCAACCCAATAACACCTTTCTACGTTGGTTAAATTACTGTGGCAAATACCTTCGTGCATTGTGTAGGGCTGTAGGCAAACGGTTTTCAGTGGCTTAAAAGAGATTTGCCTGCAATGTGCTATCGATTATTCAGGCCTTACAAATCAGCGATGATTCATAGATGACTGCCACCTTTACTCGCCATCCTCTCGATTTATTGATGTTTTATTGTAGATTGTTTGCAAATCTGGCCACTCACCGTTACGCCATCTATAAACTACTATCGCCACCTATAGTCATCGGTGCGCCTCCCTTAATTTTTATTTGGGACGCAGCCCTCCCCAGTCAAAATTAGAAGCAGTGTAGGAGCTGGGCCGGCGCTGAACCAAGAGCATGATAGAAGCATGAGGGAAGCAGGAATCCAGCAAGGATGTCCGCTTATTACGGGGTTCAAAACGTTCTGCGTAAGGCCTTATTTGGGCGCTGGCGCATCCCTCCTTGTCACCTGTCCCTCCTTGTCTCTTCATCTCTCTGAGATGCTAACGCTGCTTCTTTCGAGCCAGCTTCAGCAGGCTGGACAATTGAGACCTTCCGCCCCTCGTGGGTGATGATTGACTTGAGATTTTTAATTATTGAGACCTTCCGCTTAGCTGGCGATTTTATATTTTGACCTCCGGTGCGAAATAGCTTGATAACTGCAAACCATTATACATTATAGCTAGCAAACCATTATACTACTACTTATACTTCATTGCTCGAATGGTACTAATTGTTAATTGTTCACGTATTATGCTGACTCAATATCATCATGTTTCTTGATCACGTGCACATATCTGATATCGTTATGTTGACTCGATATCATCATGTTTCTCGATCACGTGAACATATCTGATATCGTTATGTTGACTCGATATCATCGTGCTGATCCTTTGATGAAAATAATTTCATATTATGTTGACCACGTGCTTCCTATTGTGCCTAATAAATGCTATGGAATTTCATTGTGTCTTCTTACACCTTTAATTTATATTCTCTCATTCATTTGTGAGGTTAATTAGTTAACTGATAAATATCCTAAACGAAGTTGGATTTCCTCCAAACTCCAAAAGTATATTAATTATACACATGCGCAGTGGTTCAATAATTTAATTGTGTATACAGTGGTTAAAGTAATAATAAATAATTATACAGTGGTTAGTTAAGTCGCACATAGATTAGTTCAATTAATGACCATTAGCTGATACAAATGAAGTTGGGTCTATACAAAATTCGAGAAATATATTAACTTTGTAGCCGTGCAGTGGCCATCATAATTTCAGGTACATGGACTCTTATGTCGTATCTGAAGTTGTTAATTAACCAATATAACTGCAGAAAATGAACTTCGATTTCCACCAAACTCGAAAAGTGTTGATTTTGCGCCAGCAAAGAGGCTGTAATATTTTAGGCAAGTGAAATTGTTACATGTTCTAGTTTTAGCATACTACGAACATTTGAAATTTGAACTTTTTAAATGGATTTTTTGATCAATTTGTAATATTTTTTATCTATCTATTTACGCGTATTGCCGATTTATTAGATTTACTGATATTTAATTATTATTTATTTTTCACCAAATATTTTCTCGTACTCTTCTTCCTGAGAGATAAAATAGTCACTAGATTGCTTTAATCGCAGATTCACTAGAAATTTAAAAGCGAAGAAAACACCGCAAAAATTTAGCATATCTCTATTGAAAACGTTTCGGAGACCAGCTCCATCGTCAGTTTGATAAATCTAGAACACAGATAAAGGCAGAAAATTAGTTTGGAGTTAATAAAAAAACATAGAAGTTAAAAACCGAAATTTACAGACAAAGGGCAGAATAATAAAGTAAGTACCTATCTATTCACAATTTCTAATGGATAAGAAGTATAGGCAGCATTCAAACTAGGTTTCTCTTTGAAAATATACAATGATTCCAAAATACGCAGATCGGAAGCACCAGAACTATAAGCTAAAACCTTAAAGTCTCTGTCGGACACTGGAACGTTGCACTGTTCAGCGTGAGTGCGCACAGCCGAATGAGGAGGGCGCGATAGTAACTGCCCAGTCCTATAACTCCTCCCTCTATGCTCAGCGACCTTAGTGTAAAAGTTGCGTGCCGTCATCCCAACGTACGCAGATGCACATTTTGCACAACTAAATTTATAAACTAGGGACGATCGCATATGAGAAGGAAGGATATCTTTGTACCTAAAAAACGAACCTATTTTCGTATCTTACTGGCGAATAATTTCAAAATAGGTCCGTTTTTAGGTACAAAGATATCCTTCCTTCTCATATGCGATCGTCCCTAGTTTATAAATATAGTTGTGCACGATGTGCATCTGCGTACGTTGGGATGACGGCACGCAACTTTTACACTAGGGTCGCTGAGCATAGAGGGAGGAGTTATAGGACTGGGCAGTTACTATCGCGCCCTCCTCATTCGGCTGTGCGCACTCACGCTGAACAGAGCAACGTTCCAGTGTCCGACACAGACTTTAAGATTTTAGCTTATAGTTCTGGTGCTTCCGATATGCGTATTTTGGAATCATTGTATATTTTTAAAGAGAAGCCTAGTTTGAATGCTGCCTATAGTTCTTATCCATTAGAAATTGTTAATTGATAGGTACTTACTTTATTATTCTGCCCTTTGTCTGTAAATTTCGGTTTTTAACTTCTGTGTTTTTTTATTAACTCCAAACTAATTTTCTGCCTTTATCTGTGTTCTAGATTTATCGAACTGACGATGGAGCTGGTCTCCGAAACGTTTTCAATAGAGATATGCTAAATTTTTGTGGTGTTTTCTTCGCTTTTAAATTTCCTGAGAGATCATTCGGCATTGCCGTATTTCATGTTAGAAACTTTGCGATTATTTGGCCTTGCCTTATTTCATGTTAGAAACTTTACGATTATTTGGCATTACCGTATTTCAGGTTAGAAACTTAACGATTATTCGGCACTACCGTATTTCATGTTAGAAATTTTACGATTATTCGGCATTACCCTATTTCAGGTTAGAAAATTTTTGATTAGTTGGCATTAACTTATTTCAGGTAAATAACTTTACGATTATTCGGCATTACCGCATTTCAGGTTAGAAATTTTACGATTATTCGGCATTACCGTATTTTAGGTTAGAAGCTTTATGCCTATTCAGCATTACCTTATTTCAGGTTGGAAACTTTAGGCATTAAAGTATTTCAGATACGGTATTTCAGATTAGACACGGTATTTCAGATTAGAAAATTTTTGCTGTCAGATTTTTCTATCAAATTTTTGCTGTCAAATTTTGACAGATTTGCTGTCACGTTCTCGTGCCGAACAGCGAGTAACATCCTGCACGCCGAACCGAATTTAGTATTGTCATCTTTGTTTTCTTGATTGCTTTCCTGGTTTCCGTCAAAAACTTTTGTCTCCTTGGCCATTGCTCTTTTAGCACCTGGGAAATAGCTAATAACTTTAACAGTTGCCGCAGCCAAACCCCATTCTGATTCATCCAGGATATCCGAAAGCGTGTCGTTGTAACGCTTCTCGATCTCCTGAAATATTGAAAATATTCATAAGCCAAGTGATAGTTCAGTGAGGAACAATATATTTGGGAAAAAATTCTACGTTTTAGGATTACGTTTGAAATGGAATTTTATTTTAACGTAGTAGAATTGTATGCCTATCTATTTTCGTGTTCTAAAGATAAAACATTTCTTTTAGACAAGTTTTTCGTAGTAATCTTTTTAAAAAAGTAAGGAAATTATTCTACATAGATTTAATCAGACAGGATAGCATATGAGCTACAGGAAAGTTATCTACATTTGCACGAGGCCATTTGCAGTGACACATTTCAAGTAACGAAGAAACGAAATATGTGTATCTATATAATTTTTTTGGAAAGCACTTTCTTAAGGTTTGTTGCATGAATAGTTATTATAGATCGCATGAAAAATTCTTTGTACTCTCGATAGTTGAAATTAAAGGTAAATGTACGAGTAGGTAGAATTAATGGTTAGATTGGGAACAGGAAAAATACAATGTTACATTAGGAGCAAGTAAAATAAATGTATTAATTAGAACAGTGGAAATACATCGAAACATTATTAGCAGTTGAAATGCTTGGTTCAGTTGGGAGCTGGTAAAATGAGTAAAGAAATTATGAGCGAGTGTGAGAAAAAGTTAACTTAAGACCGGAAAATATTATCAAACGTCCATACATGACTTGGACGTTTGATAATATTATCGTTTTTAATAATATATCGGACTACTAAAATTTGATGATATTAAATATTATTTGATAATAATAATAACATTTCGGATGTTTGATAGTTATTAGGTAGATTTGAACGTCCGTCTCATAACATACAGAAAAAATTAGATAGGAATTCAGAATAAATTGACTATGAAGAACAACACCGGCCATTTGCATTATTTCAGATAAATTTTCAAATATCAATATTTGATTATACATGACAGACCAAACAACGAACTACAATATGAAAATAATTCAAACTTCTGAATTACTGCAATTTTGTGTGAAGATTTATGTCTGAGTTAGGAAAAGCAAGTCCATCTAAGCGTAGGTTCTTATAGCAGTCACGATCAACAAATCCACCGTTTTCTCACCTCGCTAATCTGTTAACTGTGTCGCATGGAACTGGTAATGGTTTGAAATAATGGTGTGTACCAATGTAAACAAAAAATCCGGGCGATAATTCATGAAAGTTTTCAACATTACCCTCTGTATTATAAATAGAAACGATAAAATAATAATACTTTTATTTATAAAATAATACTGTCCTGCCAGATTTAGAGTTGTTCCCACTTGAATACTTACTTTCTCAAGTTTGGCTTTGAATTTCATCACAACCGGAATATTTTCTTTTCCTTTGTTCTTCTCAGTGTAAAAACAGAGGGCTTCATTCTTGAACTTATGGTGACTCTTATCTAATTCGGAAATATCGCGGGATGATGTTGTGGGGTGGGCATTGGAAATGTTATCTGTATAGGAAGTGAGAGCTTCCTTGTAGGCCTCTTCGCTGCATGACCACACCTGCTGAGCATGGCCATTCAATTTGACGCAGTGGGCGTACTTCTCGTTGATATCCTGAAATAGAAGCTAATATAATCTAATATAGTCGCTTTGATGTCCAAACAATAATGACCGTTCACTTTCCACAAATGTTAATCAGAATCAGAAGAAATTATCAAAAGTGCGTAGAAAGTTTGGCTAATTGATTTGCAAAGCGATTTAAGAGTGACATCGGCGTGTAGTACTTAAAAAAATATTGAAAATGTGATTATCCTTGGTGGAAACCATCAACATTTCACTTTTGCAATAGTCTTTGAATAATTTAAATATGGCTTATGCAGAAAATAATAATGGCTTATGCAGAAAATAGTGGTTTGTTGTGCAAATGGCGTTTTGCCAAAGTCGTGTATGAAGGTAATAGATGTGACAACAGGAACAAATAGAAACGTTATTTTCGATAAAAAATCTCTCTTTCGTGCAACTTGGAAAAGCGCATTAAGAAAGGTGCCATCAAAAAATCTTAGGTTGTGTCTTCGTTAAGAAAGTGAATATTTATAAGAACCGCAGATTATGAGTTTCATGTCATTACTGCCGACAGGAGAAAGTCCCAGGGTCAAATTTACTATTCAGTCAAGGTCAGCTTAGAAATTTCTGTAATCACTCACTTTCACAAGTAGAGCTCTGAGTTTATTGACAACAGGGAACTCTTCTCTGTTGATGGTGTATCTGTTTCCTTCGTCGTAAAGAGCGCAAGTTTGTGTCTTTGCTGCCAAGTGTTGATTTTCTAAGAATGTGAAGTCCACGTAATCGATGTTGGGATGGATTATAGAGTCAATTTTTTCCTTGTAAGAAGCCAGCGATTGGCATTGAGCCACTTTGCTGCATGAGTGCGCGTCCGAGTTACGCGCATTACTTTCGCTGTAGCTTGCGTACTTTATGTCGATAGTCTGAAACATTATTACAAATATCAAACCAAACTATAAGAGAATTCCAGATAGAAAATGGAGTTAATCAGCAGTTCACTAATCAAATATAGTAAACAAGTTATTATCACAAGTTAATCCTGCGATTTAAAAATGACAAAACTATGGCATGCCATACAGAGTTGTATCTGTGGTTAGACACTCGAATAATTTTCGCTACAGGCATTGACTTCTGTTCAAGATTGGCTACACATTTTCCTATCGATTTAAGTGACCGTAATAATAGTGGACACGCAAAATCGTAGAAGTAATAATAGTAAAGAACACGCTCATATCCACTTAGCAGAAATTTGATTTTAAATTTCTCTTTTTTCAACTGCAACTGTATTTTACTAGCAATAAATATGAAAGTAGGATCCAATTATACAGATTTTTCAGTAAGTGCTGTTGAAAATATAACATGTTGAAAATAATTTCATATATTAAATATCTGACCAATAACTCAATACTAAATATGTATCGTTTAGTCACACATAATTACCCTCTCAAGTTGCCATTTCATTTCATTCACAACAGGAATTAGGTTGATGCTCTCGCTGTTTTGGTGTTCCCGCTGGTAGGCTGCAATGGCTTCGTCTTTTGATGTTAAGTGCTTCTTATTCAGGGAGGAAACGTCGAGTGGTTCTTGATCGAAGCTCGTCACTTTATCCATAGCTTCCTCATACATTTGCAGGGCCTTGTTGTAGGCCGCGTTGCTTAACGTGCGCGCTCTATGTTTACGTTCATCCATCTCGACATAAGACTCGATGCTGTGATCAATTTCCTGGAATGAAACTTGTCTTTAGTGTGAAGTCAAACATTATAATCAGCTCATTATAAATATTCACATTCCATTTACTCTTCTTATCGTGTGGTCAGAATCTGCAGTACAGATTTTTACAAGGCGACGTTCCAGACGGCGCAGTATTCAAGTATTTTGACTCATGTTCATCTTAACTGCAAAAATGTACAGCATGTTATGAAACTGTTTCGTGACGGAATGGGTATTACACTTCAGCTACAAGAAGCTTGTTTACTCGAGCAGAACCAGTGAAATAGACAAAGAAATCCTAGCTTACAGTCAAGAGTTTACGAGGATTAGAGAATTGTTGGAGAGAATTCGACCACTATTGAATCTTTTTCAACCTTCTTACAAGCTGTACATGGAATTAACCAAAGTCCCGCTTAATGGACGACTCAAAATTGAAGAACATGAAAATTGCCGTTTCTCTGCTGCCATCAGTCAAAAGGTTCATGTGCCTTACCAACTTCATGATAAACCTATCAGTATTCACTGGACTATCAAAAATTATCAGTAAAATCGTTTATTATGATGCTTCAGTGAGTGAATACAAACTCGAGCATCATAGATGCTTCTCAACCTTTAGATCTGAATTTAAAAGTAAATTTTCAATTTAAAAGTTAAACTCAGCATTGCCATGCACTTTCCACTACTAGATGTTGCCAGAAATCCATTAATTATTCATTTAGTAGATAAAAATGAATAATTACAGTTGGTTTTCACACAAATTCAAATATGCACTGCAGCCGCAGATTTCGATATGTCATGTTCAGTACTAGTTTCTGAAAATTTTCCTACGTAGAAGTAGGCAAGTCCTAGCTGGATAGCGATTTGTGTTACCATTCACGGGTTGCGACTGGTGCGACAGCACGTTGCCCGCACTGGTTTGGTAAGGATCTATTTATTTATCCTTGTTATTTATTACTACTTCCGTCTTAGAATATTACTGGTGAAATATTGACGAGTTATCCACGTTTATATCACCATTCTATAATAGTGTAAGTTTGTTCATTTGTATGTTAATTTGTTTACAGAAACAGTTTGCGGCATGTTCAATAAATGACACATCAGTGGATATTTTCATGCAGATTGCGATTTTGGACATTCGGGCTAAATTGGACGAAGTAAAATTTTTCTCAACCATGTACTGACCTCCTCAAGCTGAGCTCTAATTTCATTTCGAAGAGATAACAGTTCTGTCTTGACGATGTTTTTGGTTTCCTCATCGTAGGCTGTCATGGCTTGGTCCTTTGAATCTGAGTGAAGTTTCAGAACACTGGAAGCGCCAAGAACGTCTCCAGTGAGGCTGTTTATTGGGGACATGGCCTTCTTGTAGGCTTTCTTAGCTTTTTTGCTGGCGGCAGCGCAGCTTGAGCGCGCCTTCTGCTCTTCTCCATTGGTCCTGATGGTGACCACGAACATCTCTTCCATTTCCTAAATATAACAAGCTTCAAATATCTTTATTGCTTAAATTACAAATGAACAAGGAATTTAAGGGGAGCATATACGCCAGAAATAAAAATATTAGGCTTCTCCGATTTCTTGGTTCATTTTGTAGCTGCAGGAGAGGCGCGTTTAACGCAGCAAACCACATGTAAGTGCGTGCTCTAGTTTTTGCGTCAAGCAATTTAAAAAATATATAAAATGAACATTTTCTAACAATATGTCCAAAGATTTCTCTCAAATAAATCTGTATTTACATATCATGATTCACGTCAATTGCAAAATTGTTTGCTCCTGTTTGAAAGCTACAAATAAGATCAAAATTGTTAGGAATAATTACAAATGATTTTGTAATTATTCCTAACAATTTTGATATTTGAGTAGTATCCTATTTACTTGATTTTGTACTTATGTCGACGCTAACTTCATCACTCAATGCGCCTTTTAACTTGATAATGAATGATAGAAACATTCGAAACGTCGTTAACGAAATAAAAATGTCCATCGGTAACCTGATTTTCGATTTGCCAGTTCAAACTAAAAACTAATAAGAAAATTACGAATAAAACAAATTCTCTGGTCTTCAATGAAACCTGCTTGAAAGAAGAAATTCTGCCAACCTATATATATATATTGCTATATATTGGTAATTCCGCGACAGTGATTAGTCGACGTTTTTCAATTAGTTATTTAATGTAATAGAACCTTTCCTGGCTGGACCTAACCTTAGTAAAATTGTAAAAAAGTGCCTAAAAAAACATTTTTCAAACCTCTAACCCTAATTCTAACCCTAACCTAACGAGATTTTTGTTAATTAGCATGTCGCATAATAGCGTTCATCTTTTTTTGTGTCGCACTATTAGCAAAAATTAATCATATCTAGATTCCGCGACATTGGTACATACCGAGACAGTTATTGCGCGACATTTTGTCGCACAATATGCCAAAAATGTCGCGCTATTGTCTAAAGTATGCTTAATATTTAGCACAAAAATACCGCGACACGGTTTTCGAAAACTCTTAACAAACGTGTCGCACAATAACCCAAATTATACAATACCGGACAAAATTGGTAACATTAACGGACAGGGGTTAGAAAACCGGACAAAATCGAGTCCGGTTGTTAACTCTGCAATTAGTTTGTGCTTAAAAACCGGACACGAAAATAAATGAACTATACTACCGGACATTCTAAAAAACGCCAACCTCGTTAGGTTATGGTTAGGTGTGTATAAAACCCTTCTTTACGTTGCTTGACATCTTTCTACTAAGGTTAGGTCCAGCCAGGTTAAGTTCTTTTTATTTGCGGATATAGGTTTGGATCTCTAGTTACGCCCAGTACATACTAAACCCCGTAACAGTAATCATATTTCAACTCAAGTGGTAAGGAATACATTGTGAAAGCAATGGAAAGTTAAGCGTGAGAAACTTCATATTGGGGTACCAGCTGAAAATACTACTAGCACGGTTTCACAAGATTCACCTCACTCGGTTTACTCACCGACTTGAGTTTTTCTCTTATTTCATCAGCAATTGGGAATACGGCGCAGTTTTTGGCGTACGGGTTATCCTTGGCGTAAACTGAAAGGGCTTTTTTGCTTGACTCGAAGTGGTGTTCAACCAGAACTGCCGCTTGAGGATCTTCCACATCGGGCTTGATTATCAAGTCCATGGCTTCTCTGTAGGCCTCAAGGGCCCTGATGCGAGCTGCCTCGCTTGCCATACTTGACATCAGCTGAAAGGTAGGTAGTCAGCACAATTTCTTAAAATGCAATATCTTTCGAGATTGCAGCAGGAAATGCAATATGAAATATTTCAAAAATTTCTGAAATTGGTCGACAGGAAGCCGACAATCCCTAATGTCTTTGATAAGTTTGCATTAAAGTTTCCGTGCAATAGCAAAATTGACAGAATGGTACATATTGGGGCGATTATATCTTCGAATGAATTTCTTTTAAAACTTGAATGACTTCCATTCAAAATTCATTTGCTTAATTTGAAATCAAATTCACTACACTTCCCAAATTAAATTCATTGGTGTCATTGAATTATAGCCTTCCTAGCATCAACACCTCAACCATGCTTGTAGCCTGGACCAGATTTTCGTTATTGAAGAATTTTATGAAGGTTCTGCACAGCTCTACCAGCTCGTCTGCCGTGGCGGGCTTCCCCAGCGTCACACATGATCGCTTCACCACGAGGTTCTCAGGCGCCAGCAGGCGAGGCACCAGCAGCTTCAGGTGCTCCACGAATAACGGATGTAACTCTAAACAGAATCACATATATGAGAAATTTACTTCATATTACAAAATTTGTTTTGCAGTACATAGAACGACTGATCATTGAGGGAAATGATTCTCCTTCAATATACCAAGATTATGTTCAATTATCACTGGAATCTCAGTTGCAAGAAGTCAATGAAACGAGCAAGAACGGAATAACGTTAATCAGAGAAACTGAAACTTTTTGGGAAAAGTAAAGTTAAAGACCTAATACAGATAATTATCATGCAAGTAATTTTTAAGGATATAAATATAAAAAAATGGTACGAAAATAATTCACAAAAAGAAACTGGAAATATATATAGAGTTTTTTAAAAATTGAAACACGAAAAAGCCTAATTGTGTCCAGGGGCTCACGTTCCAGTTGCCCCTTGAAGTTGGGGTCCTGCGAGGCGCTAAGGCCAATATGAGGCATGAGGTAGCACTCAAGCTCCTCAAAACTCTGACGGAGGCCTTGTCTCAACCTCTGGTGCGCCGGCTCTTGTTCCTCCTTTACCTAACAATGGAAATACTCGGATCAATCCGTAGCTTGCGTGTAGTATAAATAGCCAAGTATCCGTACAAATTGATCTAATATAAAATATTGGCTCCAATTTTTTTATGTGAATTTTGCTGTCTACTTATATAAACATCAGTAGAGAGAGCTTGTGTGAATTTCCTGCGAGAAACTGCTAAGTATTGGGCTATAATCGCTTCAAACCTCACTTGCTGGAGAATAACCGGTAAATTTTTGCTGCGTCTCCGAATATTGGATGCACTGGGAAGATTGCACAACTCAGCAGAGTTGAGTTGACTCATTTTCTCAACAGAGAAAACGGTTCTGAGGTCATTATAATGGGAAGCATATTTGCTGCTGATTTTAAAACCGGCTGTTTTTCTCTAGCACTTCTAGTTTAAGGTATATTCGCATTCTTTTGTGAAATATATCTGATTTTTATGTAAGCATACACAATTATATTATGAGCATGTTTTGAGGATCTTCAGGCTTTTAAGAATTTCCACTCACAAAATTTTCTATTAGTCAAAAAATATATAACTTTTTATCCTAAATGATTCCATAGAAGATGGGCTCTGTATATAAGGTTTAAAGTACAATCTTGGGATTAAAGTGTCATCATTCCGAATAAAATTGTTATTAGCACCTTCAAAATGACACTTTTAAACATCGAATTATTGTTCTGCTATTATAGATAGACCATAAGCACTTATTATAGGTTCCGCAATGTTTGGGCCAACTCACGTTTAACACTTTTTCCAGCACCACTTGGCCTCCCTTGTGACCGTACGCATGGGTGGTAGGATGACTCCAGTCGCGCACGAGGAACATCAGCTTCTGAACCGGGACAACATAAGTAAAACTCAGTCAGTTCGTTTCATGTCATTCGAAAGTATATTCTTTTGAATCCTAAGAAATCTTTGGTAGTGAACTTATAAAACGAAATCATATAGCAACAGAAAAGTAGTGACCGATAAGTTCTACCTATTACTACGTGTATTTTATTATTTTGAACGAGCAGATCATGACACTATATTGTCAATTCAAAGTCTGCCTTAGATAGAGGAATGAATCTTTCCAGAATGGAATTGAATGCTTTGCAATAATTAACCGTATTACTGAGCCTTGTTATGGGCTGAAGAAAACAGACAACTCATTCCCTTTCAACTGAGAAGGACTTGCTTCAAGTTATACGTAATAAACTTAGATAGGATTTATTTTGATTATTACAGTGATGAGCTATATCAATAATGGTTTACTCAAACCGGGAATTTTTCAATCGTGTTTATGGTTTTTTAGTACAGATTTTTTATTTCAATTTTTAATCATATGCGATGATAAATTATTTTATTTGATACTAAGAGGTGCTCCTTTTGGTCGTAGGGTGACATGAAATCCTCTTACGTCATTTGTCAAATGCAAAACTGAAATAAATACATTCCTAGCAGCATACACTTGAACTTTTGTAACAATATCACTTTAAGGTTAATGTTCAAGCCTCCATTGACAAAAAACTCGTTTTTAAAAAATACGGATATGATTGAAATAATATTTTGATTCTTTAATATACGGGAAATAATAAGTAAGCCAATAGGCAATGCCTACGCGAACATGGTTCATTTAGCACCCACACGAGAGGGGGGCCATTGGAGTGGTAAAAATTCAACGAGTATCCAAAAGAGCTGTGTACTTGTAATGTGTACGAGCTGTGTATCTGAAATGTGTACGAGCTGTGTACCAGAAATGTGTACGAGCTTTGTACCTGAAATGAACGCGTGCCTTGACTATTTTCCTGAGCCAAGACGCCATACGAGCTGAAAGTTTGGAGGTTCATGAGGTCGTCCTCCTGAATCTGGTTCATCAGGTTGTAGACGGTGACAGAAGAGGCCAGCAGAGTCAGGGCGAATATGAACGTGGATTCCTGCGAGGAATGGGACACAAGAAAAGCTGTAGCCGAAATGAGGGATCAGTAAGTTTTTTTTTAGCTTTATTCGTATTCTCGACAAATAAATGTTCGATGAGCTTTGTAGAAGAAAAATATTTTTGAAACTCAGATTGTAATTAACTGTGCAAGATTTATATTCCCTGTATCACTCACTTATAACAGATTCTTCATTTGAAATCCGAAATAAACACTTAGAATAGAATTGAATGGAATAGAAGTGTCGGCACCGAAGAAATAGGCCCATACTCTTGTAGACATACAATTAATAGACTCTTGTTGTTTTCGTGACTTGATTCCACAAGGGATCCGGCCTTTGGAACCCGATCATTCCATAACTGACGATTGATTGAGATAGCTGCTGGACTTATTGCCTGGTCCGTAAGTTGCTAGGCATTTTAGGACTAAACATATGCATCTGCATAGCTTCGTCTAAGTCTGTTCTTGGAGGCGTTCATACTCGGAGCGTCAACGATGCTATCATGGAAGCTGTTTCACATGTCGGTGACTTGAAGCGAGAAAAAATGTTGTCGCATGAATGAGTTGCAACGCTGTTTTTTTTAGTTTATAGCCGTGGCCCCTGGTGTTGGTTCTTGTTTCAAACTCTAGGACTCCTGGGACCTGAACCTTGTATCGTGGGAATACTTATATACTTCAATGAGGTCACCACGCTGATGTCGATAACAGAGACTTGGAAGCTTTATAATATTCAATCTTTCTTCATGAGGCTTGGGCATTATCCTAGTTGCACGTCTTTGAACACTCTCGACTAAATTTTTGTTGTTTACTAGTTTCCAAACTCTAGGTTCGGACGCACGGCAGCGACAAACAACAGCTTCATCGCTTCTGCATATACGTATGTACTCGTGAGAGCGTCTGATCAGTCAAAGTCGTTTATTGGCTTTATTAACTTGAGCTTCAATATGCTTAGAAAATTTCAACACATTGTCGACATACACTCCTAAATCTTTTTCCATTGTCAACTTTGACATCATCACTCTGTTATTGCAACCATGTCTTCTCGTACTGTAATCTTGCTGTTCATTGTTCTTGCCAAGGTGGATTACTTTACACTTGTTAATATTAAAACGCAGCTGCCACTTATAAATAGACTCTTGTTGTTTTCGTGACTTGATTCCACAAGGGATCCGGCCTTTGGAACCCGATCATTCCATAACTGACGATTGATTGAGATAGCTGCTGGACTTATTGCCTGGTCCGTAAGTTGCTAGGCATTTTAGGACTAAACATATGCATCTGCATAGCTTCGTCTAAGTCTGTTCTTGGAGGCGTTCATACTCGGAGCGTCAACGATGCTATCATGGAAGCTGTTTCACATGTCGGTGACTTGAAGCGAGAAAAAATGTTGTCGCATGAATGAGTTGCAACGCTGTTTTTTTTAGTTTATAGCCGTGGCCCCTGGTGTTGGTTCTTGTTTCAAACTCTAGGACTCCTGGGACCTGAACCTTGTATCGTGGGAATACTTATATACTTCAATGAGGTCACCACGCTGATGTCGATAACAGAGACTTGGAAGCTTTATAATATTCAATCTTTCTTCATGAGGCTTGGGCATTATCCTAGTTGCACGTCTTTGAACACTCTCGACTAAATTTTTGTTATTTACTAGTTTCCAAACTCTAGGTTCGGACGCACGGCAGCGACAAACAACAGCTTCATCGCTTCTGCATATACGTATGTACTCGTGAGAGCGTCTGATCAGTCAAAGTCGTTTATTGGCTTTATTAACTTGAGCTTCAATATGCTTAGAAAATTTCAACACATTGTCGACATACACTCCTAAATCTTTTTCCATTGTCAACTTTGACATCATCACTCTGTTATTGCAACCATGTCTTCTCGTACTGTAATCTTGCTGTTCATTGTTCTTGCCAAGGTGGATTACTTTACACTTGTTAATATTAAAACGCAGCTGCCACTTATATCAGCCTGCAGTCCACTAACCTGTCAAGATCACCTTGCAACTGTACTTTTTGCGACGTATTCTTCACTGTATTTTAAACTTTTGTGTCGTCAGCATACATCGAGCACACGCTAGACACAGCTTCTAACAGATCGTTTATAAACGCAACAAACAGAATAGGCCCAAGAACGCTTCCTTATGGCACGTCACTGCGCACTGATGCCCAGTCTGATACGGTTCCGTTAACACTGACACGTTGTCGTCTACCTACTAGGAAATCTCAGATCTATTTCAGTACATTACTCTCAATTTCCAAAGACTCCAATTTACGCAACAGCCGCTCATGTGGGACACTATCAAATGCCATGACAAAATCGAGGTACACTGCATCTCCTGGCTCCCTTTCGTCAATCAGGCGGGTCCATTCATTCAGAATTGACAAGATGATAGTGGTGCTGGATCTCCGGCAATAAAGCCATGTTGACAGTCTGATAGGAGATTATTAACAGTCAAATGATCCATCAATTTATTCCTCACAACAGATTCCATTACTTTGCAAACGACACTTGTCAAACTGTGTGGGCGATAGTTGCCCGGACAGCTTTTGTCACCTTTTTCTAGATGTCTTAATCTACATAACCATGTTTTTGGGTGGACTATTATATTGTTGAGTAATTATAACAATATTATATATAATTTCTGTATCTATATAATTATATAAATAATATAATAAAAAGTACGCTCTGGTCTTCAATCAAACCTGTATAAATGAAGAACTACTGCCTAACTACACTAATATAATTATATATGTATATATAATTTTGTTAAAGACCGGAGAATTAGTTTTTACTAGCTTCTTGTTAGTTTTTTCAATAAGTCGTACTAAATTCTTCGTAGGTGTTGGAAGATTGAAAATTAAATTACCGATAGACATTTTTAAAATTGAACGACGTTTCGAATGTACAACATTCATTTTCAAGTTAAAGACGCATTGAGTAACGAAATTTGGGTTGACATAGGTATGTACGAAATAAAGTAAATTGGATACCATTCAAATAATGCTAAAATTTCGTTAATGTGATACTACAGGAAGATTTTACAAGCGCAAAAAACTACTCGGAAAACAATCTCTAAGTTCTGACGAAGCCGGTGGTTTGAAGGTTGATAGCTGGAGTCCTCTCCTTAATGATGAGGGCCTCAGCTATAGCCAGTCGTATAGGATCGGGGCACCGTATAACGATACTGGTGCATTCTTCCAATATCGGGCGAGTGATGGTCTCGTTGTGGGCCTCCATCAAGTGATTCCTTGGTCCACCAGACTGAAGGTGGCAGGTGAGACGTCGGCTTAGAGTCGTGGTTGTGAGCCCGATGTAGTCCATATTAGGAAGAAGTCTACAACCTTCTTTATTGCAAGAAAATTTATAGACTACATTGGTCTCTTGGAGAGGTCCTGTTCTTTTGCAAGGGTTATTGTTCATGACAATATTCCTAATTTTCAAGTTTCTACAGTAGATCAGCAGTTTAATTTTGTTGTTATTTGAGTTGTTCACGATGTTGTTGTGAACGATAGATTTAATGATCCGCTCATCTGCTTTATAGCCACTGGTCATTTGGTTCTGGTCGTGGAGTCTTCTCCACGACTCTAAGCCGACGTCTCACCTGACACCTTCAGTCCGGAGGACCAAGGAAGCACTTGAATTAAGGAGGCCCACAACGAGACCATCACTCGCCCGATATTGGAAGAATGCACAGTATCGTTATGCGGTGCCCCGATCCTATACGACTGGCTATAGCTGAGGCCCTCATCATTAAGGAGAGGACTCCAGCTATCAACCTTCAAACCACCGGCTTCGTCAGAACTTTGAGATTGTTTACCGAGTAGTTTTTGCGCTTGTAAAATCTTCCTGTAGTATCACATTAAAGAAATTGTAGCATTATTTGATTGGTATCCAATTTACTTGATTTCGTACATATGTCAACCCAAATTTCGTTACTCATTGCGTCTTTAACTTGAAAATGAATATCGTATATTCGAAACGTCTTTCAATATTAAAAATGTCTATCGGTAATTTAATTTTCAATCTTCCAACACCTACGAAGAATTTAGTACGACTTATTGAAAAAACTAACAAGAAGCTAATAAATAAAACTAATTCTCTGGTCTTTAACAAAACTTGCTTAAGAGAAGAAATTCTGCCAGCCTACACTAGTATATATAATTATATAATATGTATATATATAATTTCTGTTCTTATATATAACTACAGAAATTGCATTATAAATAATCTTTCCACCATCGAAGATTATTAAAAAAATAAAAATATAGATTACGTGTATTTCTATATTTATTAAATATAATAAATTTAAAAATGAAACGATTGGCCAAATTTATAATTTTGGTTACCCAGACACATTTTATCAACAAATTCTTAATTTTTCTTAACATATACCATAATATTTACTTAATCCCTAAACTAAGATGTGGCTGGTCAACTTTTCTCGCATCATTTTAGGGAAAGAAATCGCACCAACTTTTATCGCACCATTTAACCAAGAAATTTGGGGAGACTAAAATATATAACCTAAAATGGATCTTGTAACCCTTAAAGCTGAAGACTTATGAGATCTCAAATTAACTGTCTCCACGTAAATTTTGATTACCTGTGCCGACGTTTCCAAATCGAAGGTGCCTTGGGTGTCCATAAGGATCACAGCAACCTGGAACAACACAAAAATTAAGTTTTGTACTACAAATAATGTTTCACTCAAGTTTCTAAATCTCAAATTCTGAATGAATATCATAGAAGACAGATGAGTTCTGCTCTTCGTTCAGACCGCTGGTATATTTATTCCATACTGTGAATAGAACGTGAATCCCATTGCTAATGTTTCTTAACCCGTTAATGCTGTATTATAGCCGTAACAATTACTCAGTACTTTAATAATAACGGATGAAAACTATCCAGATAAACAAATTTGTACCTCTAGATGCACTCACTTTTTCGCCCGTTGATTTAGTGAAGAGGAAAGGCTCGCTCCAGATAGAAATTCCGGTGGTCTCTCTCTCCATACCTGCCCTCCATACGAAGCCTCCAATTGACTGCAATTGCTCACCCAGCCAGTCTGGTGAGTCCTAGGTATCGAAGAATTGATGTGGATGAAAGATCAATATCAGACAACTTCAACCAAAGTAAAGTAGCCGCAGATTTTACACATTGCGCGCCGCTTTTGTCCGTAGTTGAGTTTCTTATTGCGACACCTTCCATACCAGATTTAACAAATCTTGTATATTGAGACTGTGCCTGGTATGGATATGTTTGATCTGGTATATATGCTAAAATCTGGTATTTTGAGCTGGAAACCTGATATAATCGGAATAATAACATTGGCAACGCTGCAGTCACGTACCGGTCCATATATCTTATGACTTGGCACGGCTGGTGAGAATGGTTGAATAGAAATACATTAAACGATATTGGACTACGCCGTTACTCGCACATGCCCGGCATGGTTGTGTGAACCAAGCCGTAGCCGATGAGAGCGTGATGGTTTTCATTCTACTAGACCGGATGTGGGCCCAAAATGTCCTCCATAAACTGATCGGCATCCTGAATACTCACTTTATTCATGCAGTATTTCAGGAGACAATTCATGAAGAAGCTCTTGCCCTTCCTGAAAGCCCCTGCAATAGACACCACGCAGAGGGCAGTATCGCGCACTTCAGGTCTGTGTAAGACGCTCATGAGGGCCTCTTCGTTGAGTCCGAACTCTCGAGATCCTTCTTTCTGAACCACGATGGGCACTACGCGTCCTCCCATGTTGATGTCAGGTGGGAAATGTACGCCTTTTTACTCTGTTGAGAAAAATAGATAATTTACTTTAAATTTGAGTACTGTATATCAAGTAAAATGATGCATTAACAAGATATACAGTATATGCTACACTTTTAGCAAGTCTTGCTATGGAGCTGCCTTGCGGGCACGGTCCAGCCAGGTGAAGAACATTTTGACCGGATGTTTCATAGTTGGACCAGTTTAAATATGAGAAGCGTTCATTTACTGTGTTCATTTATTAGTTTGTTTCATTTTCCTTCTAGGAGTGTTTGAAATTTTAATAGCCTGAATTGAATTTCTGTGGAAACAAGAGTGCTGAGAAAACCATAGCGTCTTTTATTGCACGCCTTCTGTTGGGGTCAAAGTAAAGTACTGTATGAACGGCTGGAGGGACCAGGGTGACCCCAGCAACGTTACACTTATCACTAGCCAATTCTATTTAGGCATTTTCCGGTACAGGTTTTCGGGTATAATTTAAAATGGAATACTAAGCTATGCTGAGTCTCGGCTGCTTCGAGAGTAAGAGAAATTTAGCAAGATTGATTCGCGCGTTTCGCAGCGCAGTTTCTAATCTTTTCCAGAATCCAAGGATAATTGAATTACCGAAGGGTATTTTTCCCTTCATTGAATGATTAAAATATATAATTCCTAGGGACGAAGTGGGTTCGTCAATCTATATTTACCATCACCAAACATATCATGTCGTGTGAAAATATTCACCATTATCGGATGACCATTATTCCCGTGAACTGTCTCCTCAACTCTGTACAACAACGTGACCCTCGGTATAGGTTACTTACGTAAACGATGTATCCCCGCAACGTCAGGACTAAAACCTGCTTGCACTGAAACTCGACTCCCACTGTTACAACTGCAGCTATGAGTTCAGTTATCAGAATTAGTCATGTTGAAGATAAGATAATGAAGTCGCCTCCGCTGGCAGCACTGAATTCATTAATTAATTAGAACAATTTGGCCCTAGTTATGAGTTATATAAGTTATTTATCTAAAAGTTTATATAGGTTATTTTATGAATATCTGTATTTATAAACCTTGGCTATAATAGCAACAATTTTAGCAGGAATATAGCTCAGTACATCTCTTTAGTTCGCATATGCGTCGAAGTAGATGCTGCGAAATTCATAAGAAATAATCATATTTGCCATATTAGAACTTTATTGCATTTCAATTAAATTCGTTTACTGAATTCTGCATGCATTTAATCCCATTTGAAAATTCTGCGCGTAAGCGGGTAAACCTATACATATAGTGCGCAACTGAACGAATGCTGAAAAGTTGCAATGTTGACTTCACTATCAAGGGGGAATTCTGTCATAAGGTTGTATTTTTTTTTTATTTTGTCGTAAATCTGCCCCTTATATTGTAATATTCTGGACATATGAATTAAATTGATATAAGCTAACCTGGAATTGCAGGATAAGATCTATGATTAGTTGTGTATCGACTTTTTCATTGTTGATACGAAGACCAAATATTACAGGATTTTCGATAGTAAGAAATTTTCTTACCATTGTTGAAGTGTCACAATATTTTCAAGCGAAAAGTTATCTATGACTTCTCTACGTCACTTTGATTATGAAAATAATTCCTCTTCTGATGAGGTTTGTCTGTTGTGCGTGTCGCAAACATCTCTGTTCACTAATTTTTTACAATGAAACTGCGAAAATGCTAATTCATCGAGATGTCATGGGATGAGGTAAGTTTTGAGAACTTTAGGTGCATGGCTGCAACAATGTAAAATTAGCATGACTTGGTATCAAACAAGATTAGGCATTTTTTTCTGACGTCAATGTGAATGAGATATCAGCACAGTTTCATATTTAAAAAAATATAACTCAGTACTCACTGCAATGAGTGACAGAGAGCGGATTTTCTCATAATCGACGAAAACGTGAGGTCACGGACAGACGGACGGACGGACATGACGAGCACAAAAGCGCATTTTTTCCATATATGAGAAAATGCGCTAAAAATAAAGGCGGTCATATCACGTCTCAAATTTACTTCGTTAACCTCGAAAGAAAAGAATTTCTTATTCTGATTAGGTAATATATTTTGAAAACTCAGAATATATTCTTATATACCTAGATTTAATTAACAACCTCTTCCATCTTTTAACGAAAAACTGACTCTGCTCGTAACTCCATGATTTTTTCCCGGTTTGTTATTAAATTTTTAATCACTGCTTGAAGCTAAGTTTATATCCAAATTTCATAATTTCTGATCGACTCAGACAAAAGATATTTTTCCATCAATTGTGACTGGAGGTTATGAATCCTTAATTCTGAAGTTTGATGTTTTTCATTTCTTCAGAGGCCGACTGTGCTTTGAGTATTTCATCATCAGCTTTGTTCATTGATTTCAAGCTTTCTTCAATGAGTTATTCCGAATTTTTTATTTCATCATCGAACGCTGACTGGAAACTAATTATTTTCTCATCGACCTTTTTACTTAGTTTCTCTTCCGAATAATCGATCTATGACGCTAAATTTTTGTATTTCCTTCATCATTAGACTACAAATTTCAAGCCTGATTCCTTATTAGAAAACACAATATATGGTGGACAATATATTATGTCGTCATAACCATATTTCGGCATTACCGTTTTCCAGGTTGGAAACTTTCCGATTATTCAGCATTACCGTTTTCCAGGTTAGAAACTTTAAGATTATTCAGCATTACCGTTTTCCCGGTTAGAAACTTTCCGATTATTCAGCATTACCGTTTTCCAGGTTAGAAACTTTACGATTATTCGGCATTACAGTTTTCCAGGTTAGATACTTTACGATTATTCGGCATTACAGTTTTCCAGGTTAGATACTTTACGATTATTCGGCATTACAGTTTTCCAGGTTAGAAACTTTACGATTATTCGGCACTACAGTTTTCTAGGTTAGATACTTTACGATTATTCGTCATTACAGTATTCCAGGTTAGAAACTACGATTATTCGGCATTACAGTTTTCCAGGTTAGATACTTTACGATTATTCAGCATTACAGTTTTCCAGGTTAACATAGAATATCTGCGTGTAAATTATTCTCATGTAAATAGCGCTTAAAACGCCTCTCTCGGCGTTGTTTTATGGGCATTCATTTGATTCCAGACTAAAATGGGCTGGGTTAAAAAATAAGATTTTACATGTGAAGAAAAATTTTCAAGACAGGTGAGTAAACATCAAAGCTAATTTCGAATTCCCTTGTAACTAACTATAGGCGAAATCATCACCAAATTTCAAGATTAATGTACTTAATTGCCTACCAATCCTATTTTCAAATATAAACGACCTTCGATTTTTGCTTCATTTAATTTAGCATAATTGCACAACATAATTTCAAAAATTGCCGACATGTGCTATGCAGTCAAATAAAACGATCACAACTTACAATAAACTATGGAAAAACATTAGTAGAAAGACAGAAAACTTAATATTTAATTTTTATAATTTATTGTTTAAAACCTTAAAATTTAATTTACTAAAATATTCTATGGTTCAACATTCTCAGGATTAAATAAGGATTATAAATGAAACTTGATCACAATTTCGACCATATATGGCGGCAGACAACGCCATGTGTTACAAATTGCGCACGTAATGTCGTAAATTTAACGTACGATAATTAAATTTACGTCAAAGTACGTTATCTGTCGTAGAAACGTACGTTATCTATCCTAGAAACGTGCGTTATCAGTCTTAGAAACGTACGTTATCTGTCTTAGAAACGTACGTTATCTATAAATACACACAGATGTGGCCCATCTTCATGTATTTTAAAACAATATGTTATGTATATATGTTAATTTATTGCTATCGCTTGAATTACTCCCTTTTGAAGATAATTGTAATGAAGTGATGAGATAATTGTTAGCTATATAGACGTTGGTTTAGAAAACACAGGCAAGACACCCCATTCACCTGGTCATCGTTAAGCGAATATATTACAATATTTGTTTATAAAATTGTATAGATTTTGTGATCGAATAGTGGGGGATTCAGTGCATATCAGTGATTCATTATTGCACACCATCGTCGCTGTACCCGTGATGATGAATAGTATAGTGATGCAGATTAATACAATGAATTGACGTTGGAAAGATTGATGTATTTTTCGCCTACATCTGTAGTGACTCGAATTTATATCTCGCACTAGTATTTCTCTTGAATGTCATAATTAATTTTAATTAACCTTCAAACTCGTGATTATCGACCTCTGTAACAATATCTTACTTATCTTGATCTCGATTGCTCATTTCGCATTTCATCAATTTCATCATTAAACCGTTATAAAAATATCCAGACAGTTAATCATCAATTTTTGAGCACGAATAACACTCGTGTAATTCCTGAATGATAAAAAATTTAGTTACGATTATTCGTAACTAAATTTAAACTAATATTATGTTAAATTTAAACTAATATTATGTTTAAATCGTACCAGCAAATATTGTGAATTTTGTCAAGAACGCCAGTGAAGAACCATTTGCCAACCGCGCATTAGTCATTTTTCTGAACGAAGTCGTGGGGTGTGAACATCTGCTAAGGGGGTAAGACGCTAAGTTCTTCACTACAATTCAGTTCTTTTAATGCGATAAACATTTCCGTAACTGTCATAATTAAATCATTTGTATTTTCTGTATTTCTGATATTGTTATTCCATTGTGTTCATGTCATGTCGATTCTAACGGCCATTACTGTTACAGGTGTTGATCGGCGGATTCTTTCTTCAGCCCGACTTTCTCCAATAAATAACTGAAACTTGATATTCTTCACTCCACCCTAGATAATATAAAATTACCTCAATCAATTAAAGAAAAGGGACGGCAAAAATCTTATTCAATTCCAACCACTGTTAAGAAACCACAACCCTCCTCCAAAGTGGTGACCCTCCGATACGAACACCCAACTCTGAACAAAATCCTCACTATGATATAAAATCTACCCATGCCGATCAACACCCCCGGAAAACCCC